TCACCACACAGGCGATACGCACTATGCACAGGCTAGCACCGCCCTACACCCAATTCACCACACAGGCGGTACGCACTATGCACAAGCTAGCACCGCCCTACACCCAATTCACCACACAGGCAGTACGCACTATGCACAGGCTAACACCGCCCCACACTCGAATCACCACACAGGCGGTATGCACTATCCGCAAGCTAGCACCGCCCGACACCCAATTCACCACACAGGCGGTACGCACTATCCACAGGCTAACACCACCCCACACCTGAAACACCACACAGGCGGTATGCACTATCTGCAAGCTAGCACCGCCCGACACCCAATTCACCACACAGGCAGTACGCACTATGCACAGGCTAACACCGCCCCACACTCGAATCACCACACAGGCGGTATGCACTATCCGCAAGCTAGCACCGCCCTACACCCAATTCACCACACAGGCGATACGCACTATCCACAGGCTAACACCCCACCGCAAGCCATAAGGGCACAAACATGCACCAATTGTCACCTTCTTGCCTGCACGACTTGAATGGATTCCGGGTCGAAGGCCAGTTGGAATGGCTGGACGGGCCGTGCCCCAATGACAGGGACAGTTTCGTGACTTAGTAGGTGCTAATGTCCAGGGCACACCAGAGCTACGCCCATCTACAGTCCCATCCCAAGAACCAATGCCGCCAGCCCATGCATTACACAAGAGACAAAGCCACCACCAAAAATCGATGACTCGGGCCTAAGCAGCGTAACTCATGCCTACTCTCTTAAAAACAGGTGTTTTCCCCCTGTATCTTCTGGTTTCTCAGCCTGCCAGGCTGCACTGGAGAGGGGTGCGTAACCGTCTCCCGTATCCCGGAAAGCTAGAAGCTTTAATAAGTACAAATACCCAGAGACCAGGGATATAAAACTGTATAAAACCAGGAACCGTGTAACCGATCAAAATGCTATCAATTACGTAGTGACTGTTAACTAGGGACCTATGGGGAGGGAGGGAAGGGGGTGGGAGGGCTGCCCCCATGCCTGTGGCCCTGGCTGCTGGCCCTGTACCCGACGTGCGTGCGGGTTCCTGGCTGCCAGCTTCAGGCTCTGCTGGGCAGCCCGGAGGGGCCCGGCTGTAGGGGACCCTCGGCATCAGCTCACCGGTAACAGGGTAAGCAGTGCACCTCTTACAGGAGACAGGCTAACTGCATGCGGTGAAGCACTGCACTCTTAGTGGCTGGGGGGGCAATATTAGAAATCCACCCCCAAACGAGGCCCATCGGCTGGGGAAGTTGGGTCTCCCCAGAGGTTTGGGTGGTGCCAGCGTGCGAGGCGGAGGCAGCAGTGTGATCCGACACCCCCCAGGCGCTGTTCTTCCCACACCCAGAGCGGGTCATTGCGTAGCACCCTCCTCCCAGAACCAGACTGGCCCCCTCCCTCTGGCTGGGGACTCTGCCCCCCAGCGGGAATTCCCACCCCACGCTCCCCGCAGCGGCTGGGAACCAGCCCCCGCACGCGGGAGCAGCCAGCCAACGTTTCCCGTAGGAGAGCAGGGCCTGCAATACTTGCCTGGCACTTTTGCTAGAGCACGAGGCCCAATGGGCAGAGGAGGAGCCACGCAGGGCAGCAGGGGCGGAGGGAATCCGACGCCCAGCTCCCCTGCATCTGGGATTTCTACCCTAATTGGTGGCTCTGGCTCGGAGAGGCCCCATGAGGCGCTCCACGCCCCACCTTCTTTCCCGTAGGAGAGCAGGGCCTGCAATACTTGCCTGGCACTTTTGCTAGAGCACGAGGCCCAATGGGCAGAGGAGGAGCCACGCAGGGCAGCAGGGGCGGAGGGAATCCGACGCCCAGCTCCCCTGCATCTGGGATTTCTACCCTAATTGGTGGCTCTGGCTCGGAGAGGCCCCATGAGGCGCTCCACGCCCCACCTTCTGCTGCAGGAAATCAGGATCTTTCCCCCTTTCGCCGCCTCCTGGTCCGTGGGAAGGAGGCTAACCCATCCCCCAACACCTCTGCTGCTGCTCCAGAGCAGGAATCTACTTGTTGCGTGGCTGCCTACCGAATTGTGACCAGCCGGGGAAACGACCCAGCCTCGTGAACAGCTGCAGGGCCCGGGAGCTGTCTGTCTGTCTGTCTGCCCCAGCTGGAAGACCACGCGGCAGCAGGACCAGAGCCGCAGAAGATTTGGGTTGCTTTGAAAACGGACGCGGACACGCTGCACAAGTGACCGGCGCGGGGTCCTGGCACGGGTGGGCTGCCCCCGCGGGCTTTGTGCACGGCCCGGGCAAGGCGGCAGTAGCACGGGGAAGGTGGGAGCAGAGGGGAAGGGGAAGATAAGCGCGCAGCAGGGCAGGGCCAAGAGGATGCGGAGGTTTTGACACACAATAGCGTTTGCCTCCCCTTTAAGCAAGTCAACACAGTCGGCTTCTGTCTTTGCTGGCTGAGCAAACAAGACGTTGACACAGGCAAAGCTGAGTGGCCACAGAGCGCGCAGTGTCAAAGAGCTGGCAGAGTTTGCTGTTCGTTAACTCCACCAACCTCAACCCACCTCTGCACACGACAATGTGGCGGGGGCACCCAGCCAAGCTGGCACCCAGGTTTGGGCCAGGCAGAGGCTGGGACGGCCAGCACAAAAATCAAACACCCCAACCCCCCCCATGCACCCCCGACAGCCGCAGAGTCAAGGAGCTGTGCTAGGTTAATCCCAGGCCTCCCCCGAGCAGGGCTTTGCAGGGGGATTCCCCCACGGCCTTGCCAGGCTTGTGAGAACCAAAGGGGACCTGCCCTGCACGTCACAGGGCCCCCCACACCCCCTCCGGGCTGGGGCAGGGAGGGAAGCTGCAGGAGCCCAGAGCAATGAGGCAGCACGAGGGGGACACCAAGCCAGGATGCAGAGGCTCCGCAAAGGCCAGGCACTTTGAACAGCAGAGAAGCAAGATGGCACCAGCGAGACAGCTGGGGCCCCATGAATATTGTGGGGGCCCCAACCCTGCTTTGCCTGTGCACGGCCCTGAGTCCCTGCCCCTTCTCAGCCTCTCCACGGCTCCGTCCATGGGGGGGGAGAAAGGAGGGAGCAGTGGGAGGGACCTGAAGGGGAAGAGGCCGGGGGTGGGGGGGACGGACAGCAGGAGCACGGTCCAGGTGCCAGGGCCCTTTCTGAGCGTGGGCCTGATCCCGCTGTGCCATTGTAAACCCGGCACTGGAGACAGGTGGTAACTGAGTTATGGGCAGGGCCCCGCAGCACACCTGGCTGTCTGCTTCTCACACCTACCTCAGTGGGCGTGCCCCTCTTCCCGCCCCACTGCGCTGGAGTCACTCCAGAGGGCATCTCAGCACCAGCCCCCAGGTGCGGGCCGTACGGGCCGGAGGGAAGAGGAGAGTTGTAGCCGGAGGCAGAAAGGGAGCCCACACCCTTCTCCAGGGCCTGCCTGTTCTTCCCCTTGGGAAATCCACGAGTCGGTGGTAACCCCTCTTCACTAGCTCACCAGGGACTGCCAAGGGACACAGTCACCAAGCTCCCCGCCCCAGCTCAACGGGATGATGTGGTCCAGGCATGTCTGTTTAATGCCCAAGGGCCAGCCTCACGCCATTGAGTGACCCATCCCAACTGCCCAGGGATCCATCGCACAGCCGGAGCGGCCTTTCGGCAGGCTGGCTCCCAAAGCCGTCCTCTCTCCAAACTGCCAATGAGCCTCTCGAGACAGATTCAGCACTTTGCCCTTTTACAGGACAAAAGGATCCTCGCGAGGTCATCGAGTCCAGTCCCCTGCCCTCATGGCAGGACCCAGCACCATCTAGAGCAGGGCTACTCAACTTTGGCCCCAGGAGCCACAATGATACTCGTGGCACATGCCAAAGGCTGCAACTTAAGCATGGTTGCAGAGACATGCAAATAGCTTCTCACAATGCCCCGGCACTCCCGGCACCTCCTCCCTGGGGGCTAGAAATGCCCACCCCCTGTACCCATCTGTTCCAGCCAGCCCGTCCGCTTGCGTCTTTCAGTGCTCGCCCTGCCTGGGAGATGCCTCGCCGCTGTGGAGCGTGTTCCCAGCGAAGGCCAATGTTCAAAAGATCCTGCCCGTGGGCCACGTGTCGAGCCCCGCGGGCCGCAAACAAACTGGCCGGGGGCTGCATGTGGCCTGTGGGCTGCATGTTGAGTAGCCGTGGTCTAGATCGTCCCTGACAGGTGTCTGTCCAACCTGCTCTTCAATATCTCTAGTGATGGGGAGTCCACAACCTCCCCAGGCAATTCATTCCAGTGCTTAAGAAAAACTTCCTACCTGCCAGGGTGGTTAATGTCCAGCCTAAACCTTCCTTGCTGCAACTTACAGCCATTGCTTCTTGTCCTGTCCTCAGAGGCCAAGGAGGAGAAAAACAGTTCTCCTTCTTCCTTGTAACACCCTTTCAGACACTTGAGAACAGCTCTCATGTCCCGTCTCAGTCTTCTCTTTTCCAAATCAAACAAGCCCAATTCCTTCAGCCTTCCTTCATAGCTCATGTTCTCTAGACCTTGCATCATTTTTGTTGCCCTTCTCTGGACCTTCTCCAATTTCTCCACGTCCTTCCTGAAATGTGGTGCCCAGAACTGGACACAAGACTCCAACGGAGGCCGAATCAGCGCAGAGCAGAGCAGAGCAGAGCAGAAAAGTGACTCTTTGTGCCTTGCTCACCACACTCCTGTGAAGGCCTCCCAGAATCATGTCTGCTCATGTTCATGCGCCGTGCTCTCCAGGGATGCCCTCCAGCCGAGCCACGCAAGAAGAGAGCTGGTAATCCTGGTATGTATAAGGCTACAGAAAACAGATCGGCTCTGGTATCTTCCAGCCGTGTTATTTACAGAAACCGTTCACGTCTCCTGAGCACACACCGCTCTCGTGCGGAGCTCTTCACTGATTTTCGACTGCCCAGAGCAACTGAATGCCAAGAGTTCTGGCAGCAACACAAACCCTCCTGTGCCGGGGGTTAACCCCCAGATACCCATTCAAAAGGCTGCTGCTGAGACCAGTTCCTAGCCCCTTGATTTGACCCCCGTGCTCCCCTCTGCGGCACGCCTCCGCTAGCTCCCCAGGCTCTAGCACAAACACAAGCTGCTCCTCTTCGCCGTCATGGGCAGGGTGAGGACTGGCTATCTCATTTCCTACCAAGCTGCTGGTCCTCGCTCAAGGCAGCCCAGGGCGTCACGTTTTCAAACCACCCTTCATACTGTCTCCCAGGAGCCCCCCATAAACATCTGCTGAACTCGCGTCCTGTTCGCCTTCCTACTCGCCTCAGCTGTCACGCTTGCAAAAAACGGACGGTGGTTACACTGCGGCTGTATGCGGAGCACTGCCTGTCATGTGGACCAATGCTGCTTTGATGTTTCCTTCTGCTGGCACCTGTATGCATCTGGTCTTGTGCTGGCACGCAGGCCCTAGGGGCAGGGACTGGGTTTTATTGTTTGTACAGCGCCTAGCACAATGGGGTAAATGACATGGGCTTTGAGCATTGCAGTTTTACAGAAAGCCTCATCCCTATGTTTCGAACCAAGAAATATGGCTAAGCATCACCATGTTGCGGATGAGACAAGACAGATTGGCCATGGCCGCCCGGAGAGCCCCTGGCAGAGCTAGGACTGCAGCAAAGTCAAGCCCATGGCAAAGAGACACCAGCCACCACTCTACGCTCCCGTCCTTGCTGCCAGCAGAGTTTGCGCAGAAACTCAGAGCAGATGCCCTTAACCACTGACCCGTGCACTGGTACCCTGAGCTCCGTGTGCACGTTGGGGCCTTGTAGGCATGAAGCAGTCCTCCCAAAAGGGCCACGGTTTTGGAGCTCAGCATGCCCACCCCAACAGCATAAAGCATTTGAAAACATGCACGATTAGGTGAGGTCTGGCATGGAGCGGTCAGCCTGTAGGCTAGGTAACCCGATGGTACCCAAAAGGAGAGTCCCTTGCACAGTCCCAG